CACTGGCTGCCCAGTGGCAGAAGACACATGGTGTTGCATGTGGTTCCCAATGTGCAGAGTCCAGTATGCAGCAGCAGCCACTAACTGGGGAGCAGGTGGCCCACCCCATGGTGCGCAGTGGCAGGGGTCCCTCACACCCCTGGAAAGGCCCAGGTCGCCCTGGGAAGGGCCGTGGCAGGTGGGCAGGGGTGCCCAGCACCCTCCAAGATGGGGCCTGGCTGGGCCCACGCAGCTCCACAAGGGAACGCCGCCTGGCCAAGGCAGGATGCCAGGCTCAGGGAGGCTTTTGGCTCCGGGCTCTGCCTCACAATGTGAGCGGGGTGGGGCTACCCCTGCTGCAAGGGCCTGGCCACCGGAGCTCCCAGGAATAGCTGCCGCAGCCTGCCCAAGCCCCAGCCTTGCCCGCACACAGCCCTCCCCCGACAAGAGAGTGGGGCCACTGTGCTGCAGGGTCCCGGCCTGCTCGGCTCCGAACACCGCCTGCAGCGGCTATTCCCAGAGCCCAGGGAGTGTCTGCTGCAGCCCAGGGGCTCCACCCTGCTTACACTGCGCACAGGCCAAGCTGGGAGCCCACAAGCCCGGTGTCCTGCCCCGGCCAGGCGACATTCCCCTGTGGGCAGGGCATCTACATCTCATCCCCACGGAGCTGTGTGGCCTGGGCTGGGCAGCACTTCCAGCGCCACTGAGCACCCCCACTGCAGCCCAAGTCTGCAGAGCCCCAGGGCAGCCCCCAGTCTCCTCTGGCTTTTGTCTTCTCAAGGGCCAGACCAGGCCAGCCTGTCAACAGTGCCTCCCCCATCTGATTCTTTCTCCCTCCCTCCCCTCTCTCTTTTCTCTCACTCTTCTCCTCCCTCTTCCCTCCTCATCTCTCTCTTTCTCTTCTCCCCGCCCCTCATCACAACATGCTTAGAAAAAAAGAATACACAAGAACAAAGGTAGGAGTAGTACAAACAAATGATTTTTTATTTATTGTTACCAGGTTTTGAATTGTTAGAAAACCTGGTATTTACTGTAAAAAATAAAAGCAACATATATGATTATTAACTATATTGATATGCAGTGCATCCTGCCATGTACCCTCTGCCCCAGTTTTGTTTTTCTAGTGTGCCCGCGCTCCAGCACTTTACACATTGTGGTTTTTTCAGTACTCTGGCCAAAAATGTTGCCTACCCCTAATTTACACTGTTTTTTTTCTGATTACAATTGTTTTATATGGCTACCATAACTGATAAAACAATGTTTTATGATTACTAAATTTTTTGATGCTGTTTTAATACATAGTCTGTTACCCATGTGTATGAAAACCTGGCTGGTGGTACTTAAGGCTGTATCATTTTAAACTAGTGGTACTCAGAGTCTGTCAGTTTGGGAACTGCTGATCTACAACGATTCTCAGCCTTTTTAGAATACAGGTATCCCTCCATAATATTTGTGAATTAAGCTGCACCCCATTTCAATAACTAATTTATTACAGTGCTTGCCTCCCTGCAGAGGGGCTGGGCATTGGGAGCAGGGCAGTGGTCAGGCAGGGATGAGCCCAAGTCTGCACTTATTGCCTCACACCCGCTTATTTCCTCACACCTCACCACACACTTCAAAAGACCTGGTGGCGCCCCAGGTTGCCCAGTACCCTGGTTAGGAATCACTGATCTGCAGTGACCACTGTTTCTGATGAAAGCTGAGGATACTGTCCTGCAGTCCTAGATCTCTCTCTAGAACAGACAACTTTCCAAACATGAAATTGGGTTAATTAGCCCTTTGTGAGTTTCTTGCTTCAGCTCTCCTTTTTTGGGTAGCTATTTAATTAACCACTTCTAGCCAGGCTCCTAATAAAGAAAACTTAGTTGGTTGCCTAGACATTTGTTTCAGAAAATATTACTGTCCTTGAGCTACTTAGATTGGGCATAAAACCAGAGAATGACTCAAGACTTCCTTTTGCCCTTAAACATAAATTCAAATCACAAGCCTCAAAGGTATGCTTGGAAACATGGTGGAAAAATGGAAATCTAAACCAATCAAATGGCACTGACTGCTAGATTAAATGTAAGAATATGTCATAAAAATATATGCTAATGAAAGATCGATTGAAACAAGGCCAGATTCTCAGCTTCCCATTTTCAGATGAACAGAAAGGGATGACAGAATTGTGACTCTGCCTCCTGGACCCTCAGAGCTCTAGATATAGTACCCATGTTAAATTGAGAGAAGAGAGCCATCACAGAAGTCAGACATTGTACAAGAATCTATGCATTTTGTTTTTTCAGTGCAGCTTTATTCTGCCTCCCAATTCTTAAGTCATCCGTCTCTAGTCATCCTTCTAACCACACATGCACAGACATCCCCTCTGCAATGCAGAGCTCAGCTGCATCACAACAGCTGTGGAAAGGAAGTATTAAAAAAAGAGAGCAAGAAAACGCATTACATGGCTCTCTTTCCTTTTGTCATGCCCCCGCCTCCTCTGTGGGGTCTAAGCTGTTCAGATTCTGCCCATGCTGCATAAACAGAGGGGAATACATGGCTCAGCTTCATTAAGACTGAATGAATGCAACTGTGGAGAAGGTAGGGTAGAGCAGCACCTTAGAGACTAACTGTTTCAGAACAACATGAATTTTCATGGGCAACAACCTACTTCTTCAGGTGCTATGAAAGGACTAGCAGAAATAAAAGCTTTTATCTAGAAGGCTAAGGGAGAAAGCTCTGCTTGTACATATAACCACTTATGTCAGAAGGCTTTTTAGGCAGTTGTAAAGAAATGCAACTAAAAACTTACACAAAAGCAACCATATACAGCAGTGTGTGCAATTATACTGAATGCCTATGCTGTATTAACTTGCACAATGTAGTGGAGGGATTTAAAAAATCCACTAAAACCACACATTTCATTTTGTCCTTGAAGCATGTAGAGATCAGATAATACCACCTATTTAGAAATCCTGGTTCACACATACTACTGACAAATAAAAATGTGCTTGCTGGCATCATCATCAACATCCACCACCCCACGATTCAACAGGATAGGAGTGCAGCAGGTTATCAGGATTCAGAGGCATTATTGGTGGGATGAGATTAAATGGGCAGGATCAAAATAATAGGGGTTCTGCAACTCAAGACTGGAATGCCTTGGCATGATGTTATGGCCATAAGGTCTTCGTAGATCACAGTTTTAAAAAGTATTCGCTACGCAACCTGGGTCAGATATTCATAAAAGCTCAGCTCCTTCTCAGGTGCCAGAATGTTCAAAGCACTTGGCATGTTGGGAGCAAAGCAACTCTGAGAATCTTGAGGGTGCTGAGTTTTTGGAAACTATAACTTCAATCGGAATTGAAGACCAGGAAATCTCTGAAGAAAGTGCCTACCACATGCCTGCACTACTAAATGCATAACTGTTAAATTTCTTGCTTTATAAGCACTAACATTCAAATCTATCCCCGGTCCTCCTCCCCTGAGGAGTAACAAAAGGAAAATAAATTACAAAAATACAAAACAAAACACATGTGAAGTGATTGAAATATTCAGGGGAAACCACCAGGATGATACATCGCATATACATTCTACCCAGACCACAAGCAGACAGAAAATAAAAGACCCTGCAGGGTGCCTATGCTGCAGGAGGCTTATTAATTAACAATGAACCTAACATCAGAAGATTGCAACTAGTCCTCACACTGAGATCTCTTGACTTCTGTAGCCTACACTGTGCCAACTAGCCTTTTCTCCCCTATAATTACTACTGGAAAGATATACTTAATTGCTAATTTCCTAGCACAGTCACATTTTGGATTCCGCTGTCTATAGCTAAATAACCCACAACTCCGTTCGTATCTAATGAACTGAACACTAACGATATCATTTAGAGTGAGTTTTTTTATTTGAAATTAATTTGCTTACTGTTAAGCTTTGTTTATGCATTTTAATTAAGCCTTCATTAAGGCTATTATCTTTTGTTCTTCTAATCATTTTGTTAGTAACATCGCAGTCCCTTGGGCTGTTCTGAGCAAAACTGGCTTGCACATATACAAACCGTTTAAGAGAACTGTCAAGTCAAACTTCAGCCCACAAGTCAAATTTTATTTTTTAGAAAAATTTTCCCTACACAAATATCACAAGAAAGTGTTTAAGATTGTTAGTATTGCAAGGGAATTGGTTTTTTTTTATTGTCTTATTTTTTAAAAACAGATAAATATTCCTCTATGAAGTGTTCCCCCTAGCTATCTAGTGCTTGGAAGAGAGAAAAAGCCAGTCATTAGAAATTGACTATAAAAAATATTGAAGGCTAGAAATACTTAAACCAATGGTTCTCAACCTTTTTAGACTCAAGGCACCCCTCAGAAAACGCCAACAGCTTTTTTTGTTTGTTTTCGTGCTTTTTCCTTTGAATGTAGAACTATAACAGAGCAATTCCTCTGTTGCAGAAGAATTCAGAAAGACCAGAACAGGCCAAAATGTTTCTGAGACTATGGATTCCTTTTGAAATCTCTGGGTTTATCATATCAATTATGTTTGCACACCTAACCATGCTACCCTTGTGTGGCAACCTTGAAAGGGCCTGAAGGCACCCCAGGGTGCTGTGACACCCTAGTTGAGAATCACTGACTTAGACTGTTAACTCTTTGGGGCAAAGATGTTTTCCTGTTGTCATCATTCTGTTTGGCAGCACATAGCACACAGTGGGATCGCAACCCATGACCACGGCTGCCAGGGATTATGGCAGTAAGAATAAACAATCCCATCACTATTTTAAAAAATTTAAAAATCGACAAGTCAAACCATCATTTCCAGAATACAGAAATGCTGAAAAAAGAAATATCAAAGGGGTGAAAACTCAGTGGATCGTCCTTCGATTACCAGTACAGGTACTCCTCACTTAACGACCGAGTTCCGTTCCCACGACTAGGTCGTTAAGCGAATTGGTCGATAAGCGAGGAGCCGCCCTGTACTGTAAATACAGGTAATCGTTTTTATTTATTCTTAATAAAGAAAAGGTCTAAAGGAAACTCCAACTTGATAACTTTGTTTTAATTTGCATAACTCTTACATATTACAGAACATAAAAATACAATCAGCGAAAATTATAAAAATGATGTACCAAAAAAATTAGTTATAAAAAAAGACATTGAGATTAACATTTTAGTCATCGAATCCTTCAAAGTGTGGTAGTGGTTCGGGGTCATCAGCGTCATCATTGGAGTTATCAGCAGGGGTCCTGGGTATAGCTTTCGAGAAGAATCCCGTTAGTGTGGTCTGCTTTGTAATTTTCTTTTTTTCTTCATAAATTTCACGATAGCATCGTAAAAGTTCATTCATTTGCCGTTCCACTTTCGTGAACCGTTCAACATTTGGGTCCATACCCTCTAGTTCTAATATAGCCGCATTCACTTTCAAGAACACACCAGCTAACCCATTTAGAGTAAACTTCTTTTGTACTTCTTCCATTCTTTCCTCTTCTTCTTCCTCTTCCAAGTGCTGCTGCGCTTCCAACTCTATTAAATCTTCGTTAGATTTAAAAGCCTTGAAACCGGGCATTGTTTTAGCTTCTTTGTGTATGTAGGACCTTTCGGGCATTTTCTTCCAAAAAAGTCTGATTTCATCCACATTGAAGATCTGTTCTGGACGGCAGCCACCTCTCTCAATGATTTCATCAAATTGGTCAACAAATTTTTCCGCTGCTTCTACGTCCGCGCTTGCCGCCTCCCCGCTGATACTCCGATTATGCACGTTGAATCTCCGGCGAAATCGTTGAAACCATCCATGGCTTGCCGTAAATGTTTCCGTGGATCCTTCGCCTTCGCGCACCTTCAAAGTCTCAAAGATGCTGCGTGCCTTGGCTTGAATTATTAAAAGGCTCATCGGCATTCTTTTTTGTATCTGGTCATCAAACCAGATTGCCAGTAATTTCTCCATTTCATGAATGAGGCCTTTCCGCTGCCTAGTTATTATGGCTTTAAATCCTGTCGATGCTTTCACTGCCTCTTTCACTCTCTCTTTATCCTTCAAGATTGTCGAAATGGTCGAATGCGCCAGCTCTAAGTCACGTGCTATCGCTTTAACTTTCTTACCAGCTTCATAGTCGTTTATGATCTTCATTTTCATCACAAGATCAATAGCCTTCCTTTGTTTCTTGGCGCTTCCTCCAGGTGAAGTCATGCTCTTCCTTTTCGCTGACATCTTGTACTTCCGTTTCCACGACCGCGCGGTCGTAAGTCCGCACGGTCGTTAAACAGGTAGGTCGTTAAGTGAGGAGTACCTGTAGTAATAAGAACATGTTTCGGTAGGTCAGATTAACCTGACGGACTCCTTTTTCTCCAAGTTTATTCCCACTGCCCGCACTTGTAGTAGTACCCAAGATGCGTCCCCATCGCCCCGCATCACCTCTGGTCTCTGTTCCCCACTGGTCTTCACCCTCCTGTATTTCATCTGCTTTCTGGCATGTCTCCCCAGCACCGGCCATCACCACCCACACAACTGAGCGCAAGCCCATGTCTCCCTTGCCCTGGCACGGGCCAGCCCCACCGCCCTTCCTGTTGCCGGGCCGGGCCTGGCCTGTGCATCGCCCTTGACACCTCCCAGACTCTGACCGTCTACCCGGCCAGGAGGGAGGCCCGGGCTGGCTCCCGGGGCCCCCCGCAGGGCAGCCTTCCCGGCCCTCAACCGCCCCCGGGCAGACCTCCAAGCGGGCGCACCGGATCCCCCCGGCCGTGGGGTGCTGCAGGCCCGGCGACTGTGGCCGCAGAACTTGCCCCGGGGCATGCTGGGTAATGTAGGCCCCCGCCAGGCCCTGCCCCCGGAGCAGCCCCCGCGGGGAGACGAGTCCCGCGGTGCATTGTGGACACTAGAGTCCGAGCCTGATCTCGCGCAGCCGGAGCTGTCGTGCGAGGTCTTTCCGTCTTGAGAGCCCATTGGCCGAGGAAGAAGCGTTCCACGCGCATGAAGCGTCGCCAGCCAATCAAAGCGGGCCATGTCGGAGATGCATTGGCCAATGGGCTCCCCGTGTTGCGACGGCGCCGCGCTCATTGGCTGTTGTCTCCGAATGGCTGCGGCCTGATTGGCCGCGGGGACGGAGGGGGCGGGGCAAGGAAGCCGGACCTCGGCTGCTCGGCGGCCGCGTCGCCCCAAGGAGCCCGGCGGGATGGAGCGTCGG